TATTTTTGTTTACATTTTGAATTTTTTTAAATCTTCATATTTTTTGCTACTGAGAATCATTTAAGCTTATTTTGATTAAGCTTAATAAAATTATCGTCCAACGTGAAACATTTTTGTGTACATGATCCATTTTTTAACGTTTTTGGGCTTTTTTCTTTTTCCATTGGGAATCTTCATATTTTTGCTATTAACCCAAATTAAGTTCCTTTTCTATGTAAATATAAAAACAAATTATATCTTATCGTGAATTTTAATCTCATGGCGATGAGGATGGTCGCTGTAGCTGTAAAAGCTGTAAATAATTATTAATAGTTATTTTTTACCAAACAAATTCTAATGTTCCAAGGAATAAAATAAACACGCTAATCTACAACTACTCTTCTTTTCATTTTTTGTTTTTAGTCTTTTTTTCCTTTATATTTTTGGCTGTTAACGAAAATGTAACTTATCTTTCTAAACATTACGTTAAAACATGTATTATCAAATCAACATCGCGATTTTAAGCGTTTCTTCAGCAGGTCTCTGATAAAATATATTTGGCAAAGGCTGAGGTAAAAACTTCTTTACTTAAAATAAACTGCAAAATGACATAAAATAGACTAAACAGAATGAACATAGAAATTTGAAACAATTGAACTGTACTTTTGTTTTTTCATTGGTTGTATTTTTTTCTAATTAATTCATATAAACTTTTGTTCCATCTAACTATGTCAATTCTTAGATTGTTATATGAAATATATTTATTCTAAAATCTACCTGGCAATAGCTGCTTATGCATTTTTTCTTTTAGCAAGCCTCTTTATAATACATAATTTATTTCGAAAGACTTTAGTTAAAGGATGATGTCTTTTCCTTAAAATTAATCGTTTCCATTTTTGGCATTTACTCCGAAAGTTTGGCAGTTCTTCATATACATTTTATAAAATTTTTGTAATTATAAAAAAAAATACTTCTTTTTGATATTTTTGACATCCTCGGCCTAATTTTTCTCCATCTTTTAACGATAATCTAAGCTTCTTTTTCCATCCAAACGTTCCAACTAATTATTTAATTTTCCAACTAATTATTTAATTATTCTATCGTAAAATTTATGCTAGCATCAGAATGGCCTCTTTGAACTGTTTCGCAAGGCTAGAAATAAAGTTTATGACGCAAATCATTAATTCGAAAGTGTTACTGCATCTACAAGGTTAGTTAGGAATAGTAGAATTTCGTTGACTTTTTCCCTTCAGATTACTAATTATTGACGTAGAGAATTGACAAATGTTGTAAGTAGCGATCCATAATTAACAATTATCAGCTGGAATTTTGCAGTTTCTTCCACTATTCTGCCTAACTTTTGTTATTGTCTACTCAGTCCTCCTTTTATCGCTCGCGCCTCAATCTGTTGCTAATCTGAGCTTGAACTTTTGCAACCACCGAGGTTTTTGCCGGATATACACGTGGAATTAAATGCTTTATTGTATATGCAAAAATCACGGATATTCAGGGCGCTTTTTTCCCCAGTGTCAATGACACGGAGACAGCTGACGTCAGGCGTTAATGTTGGCGAACTGGACTAACCAGTAGGACAAAGGGTTGCTCCCCATCCCCATATGCATGTGCGTGCAGGGGACGAGTTCACCCCCGTCTATTGAGCGTAATGTAGCTGGAGTCACCCTCGTCCAAAAAGAATCCTAGGGCTATGGGGAAGGCTGGGTTAATTTTTAAACATACACTACCACGCACTTTTCTCAATTTGAATAATTATTATTCACTTTCGATCTTGACAAATCGCTAGCGGTTATTTTTTCTTCTTTATATGTGTTATATGCTTTCTGTGCGGTTGTGTTATTTTTTCTTCTTTGAATGTCTTATATGCTTTTTTAAATTAAATCTAATCCGTGAAAGATATGAATTATCCGCTTTGATTCAATTTTATGACCATCCAATATCAACTAAAAACCTTAATTAATTGAAATTTATGACAATCCTTTAGTTTCAGTCGATCGATTATTCAGTCGAATTGCTTTTCTGTAACAGGCATCACAAGGAATCAATTAAAAAATATTTCTGAACTCTCATAATAACATATATTTATAATAAAGTTTGATATCAATCATCATTTCACGTACATGATTTTAGCATAAAACTTTTTTTTTACGTTAAATTAAATAATTCCAGTTCCTCAATCCGGGGTTAATTCAATTCCGATCTTCCCATGTGGAAAGCAGAGCACTTTGAACTAACATTTATTGTTCAAATCGTTTCCATTGGTATGCTAATTCTGAATAAATACCGTTCCCGAAAAGAATGCTTTCTGCTAAGTTTGCCTTCCTGTTGAACATTCGATTTCTATTCGTTTTAAAAATTAAAAGGTGTCAAAACCATCGTCTTCATGTGGAAATAATAGTTGGATGGTACAATTTATCATAATATAGTGCAGCCTATACCAGCTGCCGTTTTGTTTTAAAAAAATTATATAAAATGTGTAATTTTCATTTCAAATCTGTGCATTAAGTTCTTTATAGATGCGTTGAAAAATTGATTAAAATTGTTCGTAATATAATTCCTATCAAAAATTGTATTAAATATTATCCATCTTGTTCACTCATCTGCATCTGAGCTGTAAATGTAGAATTTGGTCAGTTTAACTTGAAAATGAAATCAAATTGTTTTAAAATAAAAAAAAGTTTTATTTTATTACTTTTTTTCAACCGAATTACACTTTTATTGTAATTAATTGCCCATGTAATAAAAGTATAATTTGGTTTGAGAACAAAACTGGTTTGGGGGATATTTAATTTGATTGAAGAAATAAAATTCTGGCGAGGAAAAACATAATTTGGTAGGAAAGGTTTAATTTAGTTTAATTTTTTGAAAAAATAAATTTATGTTTGAGAAAAAAAATAATTTGGTTGAAAAAATGTAACTGAGTTTGGAAAAAACATAAATTATTTCAGGAATAGTTTGGTTTGGCTGAAAGGTTAGAATTTCCTTTGAAAGAAGTATAATTTTATATGAAAATTATAATTTGGTTTGGCAATTATAATTTGATTTGGGAATTGTTTAATTTGGTTTGAAAAGGAAGTATTCGTTTTGTGAAAAATATAATTTGATTTGTGATGTTTAATTTGGCTGATAAAAATATAATTTGGTATGAAATTTAGTTTGACAAAAAGCATCCTTTGGCTGAGATTAGTTTAATCCCCCACATAAAATACAATTTTGAATTTTAAAAAAGTGTAATTCGCTTTGGCTTGTGCAATTTGGTTGATAAAAGTATAATTTTGTTTACAAAAGATTATTTTAATTTTATTTTATTTAATTTGTTCGAAAAAAATGATTTTGTTTGAAAATTATAAATAGATTTGTGAATAGTTTAATTTGGTTGCGAAAAAATATAATTCGGTGTAAAAAAATTGGTTTGATTTGAAATAAAAAATAATTTGGTTGGTAAATAGTTCAATTTAGTAGTCATTTGGTTTGGAAAGGATAATTTCATTTGCGAACAGTTTAATTTGATTTGAAAAAATATGATTTGATTTGGAAAAAAGGTCATCTGTTCTGGGATTAATTAGTAATAATCAAAATGATTAATTAATTTGGTTAGAAAAAAGTTTGAGATGTTTAATTGGTTTAAAAAAATATAATTAGATTTGTGAATAGTTGTTTCATTTGATTTGGAAAAAAGGTCATCTGGTCTGGGAGTAATTAGTAATAATCAAAATTATTAATTAATTAATTTGGTTAGAAAAAAGTTTGAGATGTTTAATTGGTTTAAAAAAATATAATTAGATTTGTGAATAGTTTAATTTGGTTATAAAATTATAATTTGGTTTGTGAAAAGTATAATTTAGTTTAGAAATGGTTAGATTAGAATATAATCTTGTAATATTTCATTAATTATTTTATTTTTTAAGATGACTTTTTTAAAACTATTTCTTCAAATATTTCATTCCTTAAAGTTAAAATTTCTCCCCATAGTAATAAACTATAAATTATATCTTTATATCTTTTTTAATTTATTTCAGAATGTATTTTCCTGGAATTTGAAAATTGGAAATTAAAACTTTGTCCAACTTCTTTTATATCATTACATTTTATTACTAACATAAAAATATTTACTTTACCATCTTTCTTTCTTAAGCTTACAAAAATACAAATGGCTTATCTCAATGCTATGTATATAATTCTTTGTGTTCTTTTTATACTTAGTCGTTTTTTAATTGGCAATTAACCGTGTGATTACCATTTTTGGCCGAAGCTCGTTCAACTTTCGAAATTTCAAAACATCAATCGCCCTGGGCTTAAAATTTCTTATCACACACCTTTATCAATAACTAAACAATCCCATTCTCATTCCTGTATCGGCTTCATTCAACAAGTCTCCAAGTGAACTAGATAAAAAGAAAACGGGAGATTATATTTTCATAAAAGAGTTATGGAAATTTTGTTAAAGCGATTAAAAATGATAAATAATAATTTAAACTATTAACGAATGCTTTAATGTTTTTTTTTAATAATTTAAAGTTAAGCCTTGATAATTGTACTTCGAGGCTTTGGCTAGTCAATGCTTCATTCCTGAGCAAACTTAATTCTTGTCTAATGGAACTTTTTCGTTGTAATTTAAATGGTTTATGTTCAAAAAATAAAAGTAGGCAAAGAAAGTTTTAAATTTTCCGTCAAGTTAACTGTGCAGCACAAACTTATATTTCAAACCGTGTAGCTTAATAAATAAGCACGTGCTTATTGACCGATAATAACCGGTTTTAAATTAAATACTGAAAAAAATCGATATTTTTAAAACCCAAATATGAACTCAAATTAGGGTTTTCTCTTCTAACCAACCATGTGCAATTACTAGAAAAACTGTTACAATTTATATGGTAAATATTTTTAATGATGTATATATATAAATATCTCTTGTGGCTTTCCCAAACATCTCGTATTCTTCGCTTAACTCGTTTTCTCTTCTTCGCCCCGTCGTTACACATGTCTGAATGGTCTTCCGTTTTCAGAATGCCTCCGAGCTATCAATTGTACCAGAGTCCGTACCTGACAGCGGCAAGCGGGGCGCCGTCCGGTCTCGTCACGCTTCCTCCAGCACCGCTGAGCCACGCGGCAGCAGTCGCTGCGGCAGCATCGCAGTTCTACGAATACCAAAACGCAGCAGCGGTCGCAGCAGCAGCAGCGGCCAGTTCATATCCTACCGCAACTCAGTACGCAAACGGTTTCGATCCATACACAACCGCTGGTAAGTCAATATTTACTAATTATTTAAGTTAGTTAATTGATTTTTTTCTCAATACAATATAAAAGAGATTGTTTGACCTGGTTTTTAATAAGGGGTTGATTTAGTCGAGAAATTTTAGGAACAAGTCATCAAGTCCCCTGATTACAATCATCATTGTGACATGCAACACAATCAAATCGCGTGGATCTTTCTTTCTTCATTTAATTAGCTACATAAAAAAAATATTTCTGTACTTGTAGATATCGTTTTGTCTGATCATCTCTGGCCATCTTGGTCAGCCTAATCTCAGTTTTGGTCTGTCAGACGAGTTTCGGCAATTTGCCTCTGTGGTTGGTATAAGCAGGATGAGGCAAGATAACAGCATGTCAAATGCATGTACATAAGAATTACCTTGTTACCCTGAACAATTAATGAGAAATGCGTCTGACAGAAGAAAAAAAAAAAAAAACAGCGAACAGGCGGATCAGGATGATCCGAAAAGGACGAGAAATATTTCTCTCTTTTCCTGATTTGCTTTTTCAAACTAAGTATGTTAATGAGAAAAAACCTTAATAAATGTAAGAATATTTATTTTTATTATTTTATTGCATCAAACATTGTTAATACGGTGTAACAACCGTTTCGACTGCGTGTATTTTATTTTCACAATAATTTCACAAGTCACGCCACCCTAAATGTATTGTCACCATTTCGGCTATCGTTTAACAATTTAAATCGATGAATTGGCTTTTGTGGATGCACGAACACTTCTTTTCCCGGCCAAATCTATCAGTACGGAAAATATTTTGATTATGTGTATTTTGCATAGATTAAACGAAAGCTAATTTTGGCCTGGGTCCATTTTGGCAGAGGATACGAGGACAAACTAAGCCGCTATTTCCGTCTTGAATCTGCCCATTCTAATTTAGTTGCAATTTGTTTCACGGGCTATGAGATCCTCGACCTTTTCTTGTCCCCAGGAAGAATAAAATACACGGCCCCATTTGAAAATATGTTGGAGGGGGGTTCTGTTCTGCCACACTACAAATATTGTAGGACAAATATTGCGCAATATAAAATACACTTTTCACAGAGCACGTGATATTTCCTAAAATAAAGTCATAAAATGTATATTTTTTCAGTTAAAGATTATTAAAACAGCCCATAGGGAAAAATTAAATTTTTCCAAACATTTTTCTACTGCCATTTGTACTTTGGCAAATATATCTTGAAATAAAAATTCTTATTATTTTTTTTTTTGACAGGTGCAGCAAATTATGTGACACCTTATACATATGCGACACTCCCTCAGGCAGCTACAGCTACAATCCCGACAGCGGCAACTGCTGGGACGTTTACTGGATTATCGCCGTACACAGCTGCAGCCGCACAAGCCGCTACACTTCAAGAAGCAAGACTTCAGTGACCTAGTGTAATAACTCTTAGGTAATTAAGTAGGCATGTTTATTTTTATTTTATTTTTTCGCAGTGCTGTTTAACACCCAAAGATAAAAGCAAAAAAAGGAGCCAAGGCCGTGTAAAATGTAAGCTGTGCAATCTTATTAAATATCCTTCTCGAGTGTTTGAGTTATCAAAGCCTCATACCTTGATAACGGATATTTGAAATTCAAATTAGGTGGTGAGGAGGATTAAATGATTTTAAAAAAAAGACGCGGTTGTTATATTTATTTACTTAAATAATTTTATATTTTGGAGGAAAAAATTCAAATCGTAATTGCATAAAATGCGATCATCAACTGGCGAAATGTATAACTAGAATAAGTTTATTTAAAATAATTATTTTAATCTAGTTACCAAACTGACATCGGCTTGGGAACCAATGGAAACTAGATATCTTTATTTTTACTTATACCTATATTATTATTTTTTGTAATTTGACTTCATTGTCAAAATACTTTAGATTTTTTTAAAATAGACAATTAAATCCATTAAAATTTATGCTCACAGAAGAGCTTTTTATTAATGCAATAGTTATGTTTTTAAATTGACTAGACCCAAGTTGTTTGCTTGTTATTTCAAGGAATTGCACTTACAGTATATCTTTTAATCAAATTTTTTTTAAAAATTCTTATCTATTGTTGCAATAAATGGATTTTAGTTTTTGTTGACCACATTGAAATCACTCAAGAATAACATCCAAAATGGGTAAAATTATGCATTTAAAAGAAACAAACTGTTGACAAAGAATTTTATTTTTGCTCAAACGTGCGGAAGTTTGTTGTTTAAAAAAATTGTTATATTGTAATAATTCATGTTTAGTCATTTTTTTCTCTTTATTTTCATTATTTTAACTGGAATTTTTAAATAAAAATACAACTCATTTATATTGTATTGAACCATTTTTATATAATATATATTTAACTGGTGAAAGAGAATAGGTTATAACTATCTTCCTTGCTATTTTTGTTACCCTTATTGTTTAAAAACAAAAGTCCTAATGTCTTGTAGAGGTAAATGGAATAATAAGATCGCTTATCTTTGTAAGTTGAGAAATAGAATTTCCTATTTGGTATCTAGTCTTTAAATTATTATTTGTGTTGAAGGACAATAAAAAGTAATAATTTCTCAATGTAAATATTAATTACTTTAATTATCAATTATTATTCAAACCATTATACATGTAATTTTATATGTAAGTGACTATTTAAGATTTTTAGAAATAAAAAACTAATTATTATTGAAAATTCTTGCACCAAATCATATTAAAAATAAATTGTGGCCAAGATGCTCTGGGTATAATGATGTAAATTCTAAACTACTATTTTCACAGATTCTGAGTTTCAATTAAAGAATCTCCAAAGTAAAAATCTAGTCCGTTTATAATTTAAAATGTTATTGTATAAAGGCTTTTGTTGTTTCTTATGATTACTATATTATAATATTTTTAATCGACTAACAATTGTACATGGTTATTTGTGTAGATACATTCTAACAATTGACTTATTCCTTGACTAAATTATTCATTAACCATCTTTCAAATTCATGATGTAGAGGTAGTTTGTCAAAGAAAAAGGCTTCCAAATGCTATTTTGATTCTAATTTGCATGAAATATTTTATATTGCAATAGTAAAATTTATATAAATGTGAAAAGTTTCATCTAGAAAATGAATTTAATCATGATTATACTAACAAAAAAAATTGGCCACTACTAATAACTAGGCACAATAAAAATATATTTTTTTTAATATATAAAAAACGTCACATTACAATACATCACGTTCTGTTATATAGCACATTTATGAAGTATTGTAATGTATAAGAACTGGGCGAAGGCAGTATTCTTGTATAAGAAAAAATAAACTTATAAAGTATGTTTATATTTATCTTTTAAAAATTGTTAATCTCTTAAGATTCGTGATGGTACTTAAAAAAAATAAAATAAAAAAAGTGAACGGTAATAACACAATGAAGAAAAATGGAATCCAATGGGAAAAAAATATTGTACTTATTTGTTATTCTTATTAATTAAAGAAAGAAAAGTAAATTATTTTGTGTAAAATCTCTTTTAGTTTAGTAGCTAATTAATGTGGATCGATTTTATATTATTTCAAACAAATTTTTAAAACTTATTTTAAAAATATTTATTTGATGTGTCAATGTAATTGTATTATATTGTTCAGTAGGTTGTGAAACTGGTTTAGTCCTATAGAAATTACATAAATAATAAAATTACACTTATATATTACACATTTATACATTAAAAAAAGATTTTGTAATAAATGAAGAAACGAAGGACATATCACAAAAAAGGTTAAAAATTATTTGTAATAAACTTTAAATATTCACAATGCTTTTTTAAAAATGATATATATATTATATTAGGCCTAGGATAACTCCAGGAATGTGTCTTCTTCGAGTATTTGTGCCTTGCACAAAACATGTATTCTAACATATCCGTCCTAAATGACAGTCTATCCTGTAATTTTTTACTACCCGTGCCTTCCGAATAACAAAGAGAGAGAGGTAGAAAAAGAAAAAAATTTCAATGTAAAGAAAAAGTGAAATACTTTCGTCGAATTACGTGTAATTTTTTTGTCTCAACATATTTTTTCTATATAGGACTAACATGAGAATCAATATTTAAATTAAATAATACAAAATGAATATATATTGAATACATTGTTATTATTACATAATTTATAATTTAAAACACTAGGTTAAGATTAAGAAAAAAAATGTAGTAATTATAGGAATAAAATTATCTTTGAAAATAATACTTTTTTAATGCCTTCAATTTCCTTAATGTCATATCATTTTATATATGTATAACAATAAATGCTGATATTTACGTAAATATATGAAAATGGAAAACTCCCTAAACTAAAAGCATGGTCCAATTTGGTGCACAATGTAAGTGTAATCGATTTTCCCACCTCTAAGAAGAAAAAAAACTGAAAAAGTGTACTCAATGTATTATAATTCAAAAGACTAAGCTGCGTAACAATTGTTTAAACATTCATGGGTATTTCACTTGTTCAAATGATGTTTAACAGACTAAAACGGCCTCAATCTCAAACACTTGTAATATTCATGAACCTGGGCTGTTTCATTCTGTACAAAATTGATATCGATATAATACATTATTACACAAGCTGTATCAAAATTAATAAGGTCTGAAATTAAACAAAAAAATGGATTATTTAGAAAAATTTTAATAGTGTATTTTATTATATGTCCTTAATGCAATTAATCAACATGTAATTATAGTACTTAATGGCAAAAGATAAGTGAATGTTAATGTCAGAATTATATCGCACTCTGAAACTGTACTGTATATTTAATACCTTAATATTTAAATATTTATATAATCATGAAGTAGCCTTAGCCACTAAAACACCATTTTTTTTATAATTCATAATAAATTGTGTAGTAGCTTTCTAAATTGTCAAAATTTTCTGAAAATGGTAATTTGTTATAACTTGAGTAAGAATGTAAAAATAGTTTTCGATAGGTATTTTTTATATATACAGAGAATTCTAGAGGAAAATTAATATTTAATCAAATATAAAATAAATAAATAAATTATTATGATCTATTGTTCAATCCCTATTAGCTATGAATTTTCATCATAAGTTGCATGGCGAGTTATAGATGAGTGCAGAACGCACAGGTCTTTCACATGAAAAACCATCATAAAACATCAGCAGGTATTTGAGAATTAATTATAAACATTTTTGTATCAAAAAACATTGAAAATCAAAAATGTAAAAATGAATTAACTCCAATTTCTTATCTGGATGACTATGTATATAATATTTATGAGCTAACAAACATCAAATGGTCATCGCCCCTATGCCCTTTAAACAGATTTTTTTTTAAATTTTGTCTGCCAGACTGTCTCAAACTTTCTGCATATTGTTTTCTTAACCTCCTAACCTCTCATAAGTTACCTCAGATTGTCAAATTACTATTAAAAGAACATGAAAATATATATAACAACTTCCAATATCCCCCTGAAACACCACTAGTGTCGAGAGGCCTGCCAATAACATCCGGACAGTGCATTTAGGAAACTACACTCAATGCCCTGGTGAAGAGTCAGCAGACAACAAAAACACTCCTCGCCCCCCCCCCCCAGCAAAATAGCTGGAAGCAAATGTAAGTCATTGTCGTGGAATATTAAGACTGCTAATATCTCCACTCACAGTTACGCCAAGAGTACTCGATATTCCTCAGGACAGGTTCAACCCCCTCCTCCTCCAATCACGCTAATAAATTATTTTCTCTCTCCAAGCAACACACTTATCCCAGAGTACTCAATATCCATTGGTGTTTAAACCCCCATGGAAACATCACATTCCCACTTCAGAGTTTTTGATATTCCTCGCTGTTTAAACACATTTACGCTAATAAATTAGTTCAACTCTTCTGACATCACATTCCCACTCCAGAGTACCTGATATTCCTTAGTGTGTATTTTTATTTAATTATTTATAGATTATTAATCCTTTAACACACAATTTATATAAATCAATACAAAATGTAACATAAGCCAAGAACAAAAAATATATAAACTTTTTGAAAACTCTGCAAAGCATAAAATATACTTCTTAGAAAGTTTAACAGGTAAAATAAAATATTTTGTTTTTAGGAACATAATGTTAATAACAGTTTTCTTTTAAAAGCTAATCTAAATAAACTAAAAATATCAATAACTAACATATTAAATATCTTAGAGAACTAGGAATATATGAAAAATAAGTGTAATTTATTTTATAAAATTTAACATGAAATAAATTTAACGAACTAGTATTTTTTTGTGGAACGGTACAAGAAATAAAAGATACTAGTTCAGAACTGTCTATATGACCATGTAAAAATATCACATATCATAATTAAATCAGAAACTATTCTACGCTTCTCGCAAGTTATTAGACCAAGTTCTGACATTAAGTGCTTGTAGTCAATCTCGTCATTAGGAATACATTTTTTGTATACTGTAAATCTTAAAAATCTATGTTGACTACTTTCAATTTTATTAATATATTTTAAATATAAAGGGGACCAAACTGTGGAGAAAAATTCAAGATATGATCTAACTAAGGATGTAATAAATGTTCAAGGGCTGGTATGTTAGAAAAAGACTGAATTTCTGATCACAAATCCCAGCGTTTTCATGGCTCTACCTCTGATCTGAATAATGTGTTCATGAAAATGTAATTTAGAATCAAATAATATAACACCAAGGTCCCGCACATTTTCAACGCTTATTATTCGGGAATTATTCCTTCATTTCAGAAGGAAAATTAAGTGTTGGGTGACATGCTGAATGACACTAGGACATTTCTTGTAATTTAAAAATAGAAGATTTTTCTCGCACCATGAGTTGAGATGAAAGAGATGTCTGCAAAGATACAGCACGAAACATCTGCCAATAGCAAAACTTTTAAATCCTCTGTAAATACTTCAAGAACGTCATTAAAAAATTTAAAAAAATTAATGGTCCAATATGGGAACTTTGTGGTACCCTGGAGGTAAGCAGTAAAAGGGGAAAATTTATGATTCCCAATTTTGACAATTAATCTTCTGTTAGATAAATAATTAGCAACCCATTGAAGAAAAGGACCAAATATACCATAGGCCTCCAATTTGCCTAGCAATATCCTATGGCAAACGGAATCAAACACTTTTGCTATGTCCCGTATAAATGCTGCCTATTTGCAAGACTCTAGAATCTAATCAATTTAATATAAACTGTTCATGTGAGATGAGGTTTGGACAGACTGAGTGCTTAGGCAGGATACCATATTGGGACAGAGAAATAACACGATTAATTTGAAATAATTAATTGTGCTTGAACCCTTATTCATGCTAATAATTTACAGTGACACCAAAACATCAGCCATATTTTCACGTGTAGATCAGCAAGAACTTTTTGCTCATTTTGCAGCCTTTATTTTTTCTGCATTTTAAAATATTACAATTAATTAAGGTTTTCGGTTGAGATAAAAAAGTCAATGGCACGAGCGGGTTTCGAACCCACGATCTTCGGCTTGATACGCCACTGCTCTACCACTTGAGATATCGTGACCTCGATCCACTCGGACATCAACTTCCCATCTCAACTACACCTTTTGAATTTTCCCTCCTTTTTGCCATTTTTCACATGTCGTGTAATCAATTTGATTGATTGTCATGATTCAATTGATAATTGTCAAGCGGACCACGAAACTAGTGAATTGAATAAGTTTAAAATGAAGTATACCTTCACTAAAGCTCTCCGTGGCCATTTCATTTGTCGCCGAGAATCAAATTGAGTACAAGACATTTGAAAAATGGCAAAAAGGAGGGAAAATTCGAAAGGTGTAGTTGAGATGGGAAGTTGATGTCCTAGTGGATTGAGGTCACGATAGCTCAAGTGTTAGATCAGTGGCATATCCAGCCGAAGATCGTGGGTTCGAATCCCGCTCGTGCAATTGACTTTTTTATTTCAACTGAAAACCTTAATTAATTGTAATATATTAATTGTCAAGCAGACCACGAAACTAGTGAATTGAAAATTTTAAAATATGTTTGGTGCAATCTTTTGGTACATAATAGACACAACACTCTCTCTTTCCTGACAACAAGTGCCCATTTGTAAGTCTAGTATGACCTATGCGTAACTTGGTTAGTATGGCGCTTTCTCTTCTCAACCCGGCGAACTTGGACCAGGGACCAACGCCAGGCTTTATCTGCTGTAATTTGGCAGTCTATGCCCAGTGATTTTCCCATTTATCTTTTGCGTTATTCTTCCCTGCAATGTTGCTGCCTCTTTTGCTGCTTTGACTGCTTCTTTATTCCTGACTATCCGTTTAAGCCTAGGGATCCAGCATGAATTGTTTGTATATTTTATCTATTAGTGTATCCACACAGGCTTTTCTCCTGAGTTGTGAAACTGCACTGTCCAAATCCGTGCACATTATAAAGGTTTTAACATGTTATTGATGCATTATGCTACGTGTACACACTTGTACCATTCCTGCCTTGCCGTGAGGGGAAAAGACATCCCTTCTATCAGTCCCTCTATATACCCTTGCAGCTCACACCCTCTGGGATCTTCGACCCCTATGAAGATGGGATACGGTAAATGTGAGGAGTCTGGGGTCTGTCTCTGGTACCATTTACAGTTCCTCCTTTCTCAATACAAATCCGCTAAGACTTCCTAGGCTCTTACAGCCAGTGGCTTCCTACAGGTCCTCAGTTGTGCGTATCTTTCATGTGAAAAAACCATCATTACACTTTGGCACGTATTTAATTAATTATAAATATTTTGAGCATGAAACACATTGAAAATCAAAGATGTAAAAATTGAATTAACTCTAATTTTCTTATCTGCCTGACTAATTCAGCTGTACACAATGCCAATCACAATCTTATTCTAAATTAACATAAACTGATATAAAGAATATAATAATAAAGGATCAGGCATTACAAATAATAAAAAGCATAGTTATTCTTTCTTTTAAAATAAACTTTTATTTAATATGATAAGTATATAAATTAAAAACAAATACAACTATTTAATTAAACAATAAATATAAAGTATGACTAATAAATACAAATAATAGTCAGAATTTCTTTTTAATTTTTTAAACAATACTTACAAATTAAAAATACTTACAAATTACAAATTGTTTATTAAGATCTTCTCATAGTTAACATGGTATTTATTTCCCATATTATCCTCCTTAAATGTTCTATGACTTCTTTCAATTGACGATTCTTTTGAATTACTTGCTGCAAAAAAACAATAAAAAATTACTGAATTAAACCATACTTTGAGTAGGGCAATAAACTTTAGTCTCATGAACAATGGTACGATAAACAGAGAGCAGTGAATAAGGGGAAGCAGTAATTGTAACAAAGGTCACCACTTCTGCAAAAAATAATAAAGGGCTGTCCTCAAGGATCTGTCTTGGGACCTCTTCTCTTAAATATAGAATTTCAACGTTCTGCTTGAAAGACCCAAAAAACTAAAAATTGAACTGGGGACTATTAATTAAGGTCTGACTATCAAGCTGATGATCTTCGGCTTGATAAGTCTTGTCACGATAGCTCAAGAAGTAGAGCAGCGGCGTATCAGGCCGAAGATCGTGGGTTCGAATCCCACTCGTGCCATTGACTTTTTTATCTCAACTAAAAACCTTAATTAATTGTAAGATCTTATAAGGTACACAAAGGCCTACAAGACGACATCCCCACATGCATTGCAAGACTGTTCTTAGGCAAATAAAAGACGGGAAACAATTGAATTTGTCAGGAGTTGGCGATCAATAATTGGACTATCTCCAAAGTGCTCTTAGAAAGAAAAAAAAAAACGTGTAGTTTATCAAAAAGTGGATAGATGCAAGATGGCAAAGCAGCAATAAAGGTAAGCTGACAGATTCTGCCCTAAAATTGAAGAGTGGCCTAAATTAATCAGTTGCTTCCTGACCATGACACAAATTTTGAAGCATATCTTTTTTAAATTCAAAAGAGCAAACAGTCCAATATTATACTCTGCTTGCTAAGTGGAAGACGTAGCACACACAATTTCCATATGCCATTGTCAACAAAAAGAAAGAAGAAAATTAAAAGCCTCAATTTCAAACAAATTGGCCACCTGACTTGAAAGCATTCACAATCCGAAATTTTTTTTTCAGGGCTTATAAATTGTTTAGCACAAGCATCTTGCGAAATCTATAAATGCATTTAGAGGTCATAATTGACTGTATTAATTATTATAATTAATTATACTTTTTATGTAAGGTCTTGGTTGAGAGGAAAAACGAGCCAAAGGTCATGGGTTCAAATCCTGCCTTAACACTAACTTTTTCATCTCAACCAAGACTATAGATACAAAGTATAATTAATTAAAATCACACATAATTTTTATTTATTTATTTATCTATGATTAATCTAATGAAAACCCATGTGTTTTTGGCGCATTCTCCGTCTATCTTTCACTGAGCAAGCATCTCAGTCGTACATTCTCAAAAAGTAAAAAACATTTATTCTTTATTGGCAATGACATCCAATCGAGATTTTATTGTTGAGGTGATTGAATTATTTAAAAGTTTACCATGTTTATGGAAAATGCTGGACAATTAAATAGTTCCTCCAATCAGCAGGTTCAAGGGAAAGATCTTTCATCAAATTGATGTGGGTATTACGGCTTCTGTTCAGGAGCCATGACACCATTTCCTCTTCGGTTTTATGTTTTTTATGTACAAACAAACAGCACGTACAACGTAACACAAGAGATCGTCATCCATGCGAGAAAGTAATTCACTAGATGACGATCGGAGTGACTGGCTGTAGAGCAGTCGTGAATGCCCTCTCAAATTTCAGGCACTCCAAATGGAGCTATATAGCTCGGCGTGGTTCTATTTGGAGCGATTGGGAATGGCCACCTTTAGGGAGCAAAGAGATGTTTCCCACAGAGATCATAGGAATGCGATGGACTAATAGTCTGTCCATTAAATAACGAAAGTCGAGGAGTTATTTATTGCAACAGTTGTTGCAGAAACAGTGCATCCAGCTGTGAGACACTATAAATTTGGGGTCACGTCATCCAGGTGGGTGTTTTTAGATGGTTGGTAGTAAATTAAAACCAAATGGCCTGTGGCATCAACAATTTGGGCCCATTGACCCATCCTCCTTTAATATGTATCTTTTGAGACAGTCTCCAATGTGTAATGAACAAAAATAGAACTGTTGTTATATGACGGGTTTATGTTGGTGTATGAAGTAAAGTATGGACAATGGATCATTATTTATTGTAGTTGATTAAAATTGAATTTTTCTGCTACAATATTTTAATATAAGGTATTTTAAAATGTAAATAATAAGCAAAAATTGCAGCGTCAATGACTTAAAACAAATCTATGCATTATTACCTCAATAATTTCTTTGCTGTCATCACAGGCAACTCGATAAAGCTCTGATGTCTTTTTCTCTTCCGATTTCATATCCCATTCTTCTTTTAATGGAATTAAGCTCTGATAAACAAAAAACTTAAAAATTCCATACATATGATGCTTATTCCACAAAAGTTTCTTTACTTGCCTCTATGTGCATGTACTCCATTCCTTGTAGTTGGCAACTTTCATTACATCTTTCATAAATAAGTCTAAGCCTTTTGAACAAGAGTTTCAAAAACTTGAGTTGCTCCTGGATTTTGGCCTTTTTTTCATTGCTAGCATTGGTCCCTTGAGTTGTGCCGTTAGGAGGCTGCAATTATTTTTTTATTGTTGTCAAAATAAGTTGTTAAAAAATATAGTATTATACAAAAATGAACCTGTAAAACTTTAAGAGCTTGGAATAAGTCTTGTGTCCTTGAAACAATATCCTGTACTGCTTCTTGGCCATATCGGCAAAGTGTAACTGTGTTGAGTTCTTTCTGGGCTTGTTGAGGTGGCGGTTGGGCCTGCGGTACTTCCCCAACAACCTGACATTAATATAAATTTACAGTTACGAATGGAATAATTATTATAGGCAATAACCTGTTGCTGTTGTTGAACCTGCTGCTGCTGTTGTTGCATCTGTAATTGTTGTTGTTGTTGCATTTGTAATTGTTGCTGTTGTAGCTGCAGTTGTTGCTGCTGTTGGCTCAGGGGCTGCTGCATTCCGACAACACCACCGCCGTACCCCTGCTGAGCCACCATCGCTAAACATTTCAACAGATAAATAAATCGTCGATAGATTGAATTAATGTTTATATTGAAAATTTACCAGCTTGCTGATTCGCCATTAAACCTGGAATCTGGGGGCCGCCGGCTCCGACAAACTGAGATCGCATGGCTCTTTCATTGCGTTGCGCATTTGCAAAACTCGTTTGAAAACTGTGAGGTGGTCCTGACATATTTTTTTATTAACTGCCTACAATAGAAAATACAAAAATTAAAATATATAAGAATCGGCAAAATTGTATAACAATTAAATAATGACAGAAGAAACGGCAAGAAAGCATTATTGGATCAGAAATGAATCTATTAGTGGCAGAAAAGTAAGTAATCAAAAGAGAATGAAACAAAAAATAAAAACAGCGTCTTCATACATAAACGCCTTTCATAGAAAGTAAGTACCAAAATGTCACATATTAAAATAAATTATGCATAACTATGTGGTATTATTACATCTCCTCCATAACAATAAATATACAGACTCAATAAGCTAGGTTTCGGCTATTCAAGACAGACCCTCTTGCCGTGCAATTATTAAAAAGATATGCTGAGTTAGAGCGCCTCGGAAAAACAGTGGTACTTGTGCATGGGCTGGAAGGCATAGAAGTGCAGATGAGGTACCGAAGGCTGAACGTCTTGCCCTCCCCTTTCACAGACAGCAGTAACTGTACCAAGGGCCATGTAGGCAGAGCCACCTCAATGTAAAAAATTGCATACAATCCACCGTGTAAATGCTGCAGTGTGGTAGGAGCGACCATAAAGTGGACGCACCCTGGACGTGGCAAAAACCAGTGTACCTCGATCTAAGTTCCAAGACCTTAACGAGAATAACGGATTGACTTATTATTCAAGACATTACTTTATCCTCTTTTAATAAATTAATTAATGTTAAATTTAACAAATAACAAGCAAATTTTTTAAATTTAGACTACTGAATGGAAAAAGACTAAATTGTTTGTTTGCCTCTCATTTTCTTGTAATTTAGACTAAACCAAACACTCCCACTTCAATGTGTAATTATTTTAACTACAACTTTGTTATTATATCATTATAAATTAACAAGTTATCCAATGGAACCACCAAAAATATAATGGATTTTGATCGAATAATAGTATTTTTTGGTTAAAAACCACTCCTGAAAGCTAATTTCCTAGTTTCATAACTGAAAATAACAAAACTATACCTCAAATTTCCTTTTAACAGCAGAAGTACCGAAAATAGCTACCAACTGCAACACATAACACAAACAAGCGTGTTTTTCCTTTCCAACCCAAGCCTTCCTAAAGTACCTAGTACCTACTACCTTCCTTGTTGCATGTAACCTTGTGGCTTGTGGACGTTTGCCTGCAGCAGAACGACACTAGTGGAACTTGCAGAAAGTGTTAGTGTTGGAATGTTTGGTGACAATCCCTTTTTGTTTTATGTGTATGCTTTTTTTTAAAAAAAAAGATTCTTTATTTAATGTAAAATAAGATTTAGTAAGGAATAATTCACCATTTTGAGTTATAGACCAGCTTACAGTTCACTTTTTTTCCATTTACAACAGTGTTTATTTGAATACACCGCAAGTAAAATTGTTGATGTGTACAAATGTAAAAATAAATTAAAACAAAATCTAATCATTTAAGACTAAAAATAAACAATCTAGAACTGTAATGCGAAGAATCATCCAGTGATGACCTTCTAATATACGTTTCAATGCCCAAATGGTCGTCGAACAGGACGTTAAGGTTAAAACTAAGGGATTGGGGAGCAATGAAAGGAATTTGTGGAATTTTGTGTACCGGGATTTTATTACATCGTTCACAAAAGGAATGTTTAGGTTATTAATCCAAGTCATTTATCAATGTATACCCAAAGAGCGGACGTTGTTAACTATAGGAAATATATGATGGTTGCATTATTTCACCTCGGAGAGTAAAAGTTATGTGTTAGATTTTATCAACATTTATTTATTATTTTTAAATTCCACATTTTCAGCTAAGGTTGTGGGTGGATAAGATGAGCCTGTAGGAAACGATGTGGAAGGACGGGATATCAGTGTCATCTGAGAACTTGTGTCAGGATGGGTAGGTAGATAGATGGCGGTGTACGTGGAATACAGGGTGGGACCAGAGATTCAACACTGGGACTCCAGCCTTAATAGAATAGTAATCAGAAACGGATGTTCCCTGGCTGACTTGAAAGAAGCGGTCGTCATGTTAAATCGGAAGAAAAGGATGTAGGTGAAGGGAAGGATCTCTTGTGCTTCCACAGCAAACTATCAAAGGCATGAGCCATATCAAGGAAACCACCGAGTACTGTTTCAGCTCAGGAGACGAAGACATTGCGTCTTCAACACGGTGACATTGCTCGATTGTGGAGTGGTGTTTGCGGAAGCTAAACTGACAAGATGGTGTAATGTTCAAGGATGAGAAGAAATCGTTTCAGTAGGAGGTTCTCGAGGATTTTTTTTAAAAAATAGGATAGATCTGGCGATAGGATTATGGTAGGTGGTTAGGTTTATGGAGCTTTGGAATCATCTTTGTAATGGAAAACATTCATTGAAAGGGGAAATGAGTAGTTCCGCCTTTCCTCGTTGTTTTGATCTGTTTATCCTCGTTGTTTAGGTCGGTATTTTCTAGCTGTTCTGGTTTGTTTTCCTCGATGTTTGGTCTGTCTTGTTGTTTTGTTAGATCAGAAACGTTTCGCCATTTTGCCATATAAAGCCATATTATTCGCCATCTTCACTGATAGGTTAGGTTATAAGTAGGGTGCCTCGCTCTTCTTAAAGTATTATCGAGTACGGCGAAATGGATCTAACAGACCAAAACAGGGAGGGTAGTCAGACAGGAATAATTGGAAATTACAGGCTCGTTCACAGAATAAAACGAAACAATCTTGCTAAATCTTAAGTTAAACATTCAAAATGATATTTACACAATAAAAATCGGGTTTGTTAATAGACTAGAAAATCTAGAAAGACCAGAGATAACCCAAATAAGCAAATCAAGAATTCGATAATAAAAACCAGGGAAGGGAATTTTTTTTCCACGGGATCACAATTACCCTAACAATGAAAGAAGACAAAGTATTTACAAAAATTATCATATTGTTATTAACAAACATACACAATGAAATCATTGATTGGAAAAGACAAATATAAATTTTTATACTGCCGTTAACTCCACGTCCGGAAGTCTTACAGTGAATTCTCAATCGGGCATTAATTATTCATTCGTTGACAGGCTGAGTCCTTAAAAAGGACTTCTTTCTTCGGTGCCGTCTGACTTGGACCCATACCAAAATCAAAACCCATATTCAGTAAATTGAACCTCTTATTTTTTTTAGTTTATTTTTTATTTTTTAATCTATGACAGAACTATTGAGATAAGTCTGACAGCGGGTTGATCTTGTTGAATAAATCTAATCTAATCTGTAAGCACGTGGATAAAATATTTACGTTTGGTTTCTTTATATTTTTTTTTTAAGGAAATTTTTATACGCCATCGCCCATCATACATCTGAAATTTGAAATGCCAGAAAATAAAGTGTGTTTTCAATACGCAATAATGACAATTAGGAAAATATTGCTTAATTATTTCCTTTCTTAATTATGTTTAACTCTGACGATATCAATTTCGAATAATTTTCATAGAAAAACAGTCAAGCACGAAGGAGTACCATTCGCGAAATGGCCAAAAGTGGTTTGCTAATTTTGAAGATGATTTTCTCTCTAAAAAATGGCTGAAGAAGACAAAATGAAATTCTAGACGAAACTATGGCATACCAAATCTGGAATACCATATCACCGACAATTGATGCTGTCTGTTAATCCTCACTTATTAACCGTAGAAAATTTAAGATTATTTATTTATTTTTTCATAGAGGTAAAATAAAGATGGATTATTTAAAAGGTAATCGTTTTGTAATAAAAATTATTTTGTTCAATAAACTACATTGGTTTGTTATTCTTTGTGCAAATTATGGTTGAGTTGAAAAATTAGTGTCACAAGCAGGGCTCGAACCAACGATCTCCCGAACCTAGGGTCCCGCTCGTGACACTAACTTTTCACATCAACTTTGCATAAACAATAATAAATCAAAGTAATTACTTTGGCTAATAGGACACATTTATAAAACATATAATATACTAACACAAAGACAGGCAAAAAATTCCACCCACTTGTAATATAACTTGATTTGTATATATTTTTATATATTAATCAAAGTTTTAAGTTTTTAACGCTTAATAATTAAGTCTTTGACAGAAAAATAAATTGCTAAAGAAAAAAAATTTAAAAAGCCGGACAGATAAAATTTGTTTTGAATAGATTTTTAATTAATATTTCAATATCGCGTATTTCTACCTCTTGTCTTAATTTCATCTCGAAGACTACTCGGCATACTTTCTACCAGTCTGGAAATGTCTCTTTGCTGGAAATTAGTCCATTCTTCGCGAAGGGCGCTTTCATGATCGTGGAGTGTATCAAGAAGTGATGGAAGTGCTCTTAGTCGTCATTTGAGGTTATCCCATAAATGTTCGATGGGGTTCAAGTCTGGAGAACTGGCTGGCCAGGCTAAGACCTGACGTTATGCTGTTAAAGGTGCGTTTCTACTATGCGAGCGACATGTGGACAGGCATTATCGTGCATTAGAATATGATTGTCGCTGATTTAATCGAGGATAGACAACACATGATGTTCCAAAATTCCATCCAATAGCAAGTGGCCGTCAGACCCTCCTGAACAACAACCAACTCTGTGCGACTCTTCATTGAAATTCCCGCCCACCCCATCACTGAGCTACGTTGAAAAGGTTGGCTCTGAGAAAAATTGCAGTCTTCGTACCTTTCATTTCGCCTTCTCCACACACTTTCACGACGATCTGGATATGTAGAGCAAATCTAAACTCATCTGTAAAAAGTACAGCAGACCAATTGTCCAAAGACCAATGGCTGTGTTCTCGAGCAAATGCGAGTCGTGCAACTCTGTGTGTTCTGGTCAATCCTGGTCCTCTTACGGGGCGAAAAGCCATCATCCATACTGATTTGATCTTCTTCGAGCAGTTTTTTCGGAAATTGGGACACCTCGAACTTCCTGGAGCTGATGAATCGCTTGAACAACTGTAAGGTGCCGGTTTCGCAAAATTTTCAAAGACAAAAACGGTCATCCTGTGGTTCTGTTATCTTAGGGCGTCCAGAACGGGCCTTCTATGGTAGGACCCAGTTTCTCGAAAACGTCTTACGGCGTTTCGCAGTGTTCCCTAGGGAACTCCTATGGCAACAGCTGATGGAACGTCCATCATCAATAGAGCCACATCACGTGCAATATCCTCAGCACTAAGTGGCATTTTTAAGTTTAAAATTTGAAATTAAGAAAAAAAAAGATGAAAACTAATCAGTTTATTGCATCAGAATTCACAAGCATTTTAAATTCCGCAAAAATTAAACATTGAAAAATCCTTTATCCTTGTTTTGGATTAACGTTTAAATGTAAAATCTAATCGATATTCCCATTTTAAAAGATAACATAAGCAATCATTATTGGAAATGAATTGTCTTTGATCGAGAAAATGAAAACAAAAATCAATTGGGTGGAATTTTTTGCCTGGCTGGTGTAATCTACAACGTCCGGCTCAAACAAAACTGTATTTTTAATATTTATTTAGAAATCGTATATTTTTAATTGTACAAACTTTCGTAGGATGTAAACGGTCAATTCTTTTGAATAATGTTTCAAAATGATTGACATTATTAAGGAAAAGGAGTCTGCATTAATTAATAGAAATGGTGTCGCGTCCTTCGTAACAGCGCGAAATCAAATATTTCAACAGTGACTCGGCAAATATATTACCACGAGGGCATACCACATCCGACATCGCCACCCGGTCCGGCATTATTTGCAAAAACCAAAAACAAAAAGTTATAGATAAACATTTCAAGACTTTTTAGATTTTGGGAATGCGATGTAACCAATCTTAAAATTGCTGGAGAATTTTCAAAGTCATCAAGGACGAATTGCTGACAACGAGGACAACTTATTCAGAACGCTAGCTTTTTTAGATGGCAAAAACCAAAAACAAAAATTTATCGATAAAGCAGATAAACATTTCAAGACTTTTTAGATTTTGGGAATGCGATGTAATCAAATTTAAAATTGCTGGAAAGTTTTCAAATTTATCAAGGACGAATTTCTGACAACGACTACAACTTAATGAAAACGCTAGCTTTTTTATTGACAAAAACCAAAAACAAAAAATTTTCTATAAAATAGATAAACATTTCAAGACTTTTTAGATTTTGGGAATGCGTTGTAACCAAACTTAAAATTGCTGTAAAGTTTTCAA